TGCAGAGGAACTGCTTGTCTTTTTGTTGTATCTATGATACCCTTGCACTAGGCTAAGAGCGTCAACACAAAGTTTTAACAGAACTTAGTCTGTGTTCATTTTGAAAGTTGTCTTAATAACTTACTTGCGTTTACCCCCCATAGACAAGGTGAAAAGTGTGGAGTTAATGAATGCTTTGGGTAAAACACATCAGCTCCCCGCTTGGATGCTGTTAGGCCACGGGCACGTGGGGCAAGCGGAGCTCTGCGGTAGCCTCTGGGTGCTCTGCAGCTTGCACGTAGTGTGAAACCCAGCAGGGGAAGCGTTTCAGAAAACGGGCAACAATTTTGCCCTTTGTCTTTTGGTTTGTCCATTGTTTCTGCACTCTGCTATGAAAATATAGGCCTGTTTGGCCAGTAGATTGGCAACTGTGCAGCCGTGTAGTGTGAACCCATGAACCCATAACCGACTGGTGGCTATTGCAGAGCTACCAGTGACATCTTTTTTAAACATTCAGGGCAGTACCTTTTGGTTTCAATAAATCATGTGTAAAATACATCAAACTGGAACAATTACTTTCACGGAGGCCGTGTATTTTTATTGGCTTATCAGGTCAGGATACTCCATAGATTTATAGTAAATACTTAGGCTGTGCCCTTTCTTAAAAACTATGTGCAGCTGTATTCATTGTTAGGCTTCCCTGCTGTCAAATATTTACAATGTTTTTGCATGCAGCCCCATGCTATGTGCAAGTGTATTGCGTCAATAGGAAGGCTGTTGTTTCCCTTGTATTTGAAGTTAATATTTAGTTACTCAGACATATCAATCACTCGCACATGCCCTCTGGGACATAGTCCTGGTGAAATCAGTGAAACTGTGAATGTGACGTTTGGGTTTGGTCCTATATGAATCAGTAAGAAAAAAATCCAATTATTGATAGTGAACAGCCAGGATCTAATTGTCTCTACCCGACCATTACGTGCTTTTGATGAACTACTGTGAATTTCTTCTAATAGAAGTTGTTATAAGATTATCTGTGGTCTAAAACTATGATGTAAAACTACCACAGTGTTACAGTTGGTAGTAATGGTGCAAGAAAATGCTTTTCCCACCCAATAAATTCTTCTCAAGGACTGGACTATTTTTTTTCTCCTTTAAATTAGATTAGAAAGCTGTAACTGTTTTTATTTTTGTGCTAATTATCTGATATTTTCTTGTCAATTAAATATTTTTAAAGATAATTTCAACCCATTTGTTTCAATTTGTCTACTTCAATTTTAGTATGTTCCAACATGTTAACCGTAAAGTATGTCCAAAAATGGTGAGATGAAGCTTTGCTTACCAACAATACAAAAGTTATTTCAAGGAAAAGGGGAGAACAGGCATATAAACACACACATAGAATATGATCATATAAACCTCTCTATTCCGTGTAAGGCCATTGAAGCCTTTCCCATTATAACATAAGTGCAAGCTTGCAAGAAGCACAGCATGGATATAATGCTGATGGATATCTGACAATTATTTAAATTTACCCATATATCTTTGAACAAGTTATCCAAGAGTTTGTATTTATATTTGATTGTAAGTAGAGTTGATCCAGACCAATTCGTTACTGGAGCAATGCATGATTGTGTTGTAATGATCTAGGCTTTTTTACTGCAGAACTACAGACTCTTATTTGCATTGAATTTATTATTCTCTTGTTTTACAGGTGTTAGGAAACAAGCCAGAGCTTCCTGAGTGTGGTGATGATGATGATGAGACAGCTGATATTGTGAACAGGAGGAGTGCTAAATTGTATATGGTAAGTAGTCATATTGGTTTTAACAACGAGGGTCATATATGGTTTAGCTATTCTTAGCAGAATTTGCAAGATGAACAATTATGTAATATTTTTCTAATAAAACTATAGAAGAATTTGAACTCACACTCCTTTTGAAGTGGCCCCTTCCTCCTTCTGCACCTGCAGTGTCTTGATGATAAGTAGAAAAGTGCTAATGTCATAACATTTCCTATTGCCAAAATGGATACAATTTTTATTCTGTTCAAAATGGTAGGAGTTTTATGATAAAATTCAGTGAAGTTACAATTATCTTAATATCTTGCTAGGGATACTGTTCGTGTTTAGAAGGGGCACAGAGTTCATTCTTCTAGCTACCAATGCATTACATTAAGTAGGTATAATAATGTATACAACTATTTTTCTTTCTTGAAGTAAAAGAGATGGGAAAGTAGTTAAAAATTATTGGTATTCTTTTAGAAAGGATGTGAGAATAACTTATTGTTTCCCAATATGGTTAAAGTATCTACATATCTCTAAGCTGGAAAAATGACAGTGGTAACAATATAAATTATTGAGTATTGTGATATTAATACATTATTCAACAAATAGTCTGTAACTTAGTTTAACAGATAGCCATGACTCTAAAGCATTTGCTTCGTTACTGCCAAAGCAGACGGAGATTTTTGTAGCTGATGCTTTTTCATAAAAAGGCCTGTTTTAAAACTGAAATTTATAGACATTCCATTTCTTTGATGTTTTTAACAAAACTGAAACAACAAACTATTTCCAGACCTGTGCTCTCTTTTTCTTTCGCAGCCAGCCTTTATTTCTTATTCTACCACTTGAGAAAAGGACTGAAAATGTATTTACAAGAGGGAGAATATCACAGAATCACAGAATGGTTGAGGTTGGAAGGGACCTCTAGAGATCATCTAGTCCAACCCCCCTGCACACGCAGGGTCACCTAGAGCACGTGGCACAGGGTGGCATCCAGGCGGGTTTGGAAGATCTCCAGAGAAGGAGACTCCACAACCTCTCTGGGCAGCCTGTTCCAGGGCTCTGTCACCCTCACCGGAAAGAAGTTCTTCCTCATTTCCCACTGCATCCCTAGGCAGACCCCTTTCCCTCCACCTCTGTTCCAGATGTAAAGTGGGACTAACACTTACTCACGTGCCTCAGGGAGGGATCATTAGACTCGATCAGCCAGCCTAAGAAGAGTCTTAGCACTGCTAGAAGATGCTGATACAATGGCTGAGCCTGCCCAGGCCCGAATTTTCTAAAAGAAATAATTTAGTAGTCTATTTTTTCCAGAAACAAAAGGGAGAAGTTTTAGTGTAGGTACTGCTGCACAGAGCCTCTTTATGTGTGTCTCTAAGTCCATAAAAAATTAAAGTTGTGTATCTATGGACGTAATGGGCTTAGTCCAACCCAAAAAATCAGGATGTATTTTGGCAATTTAAAAGTATCCTTAATGAAAAGCTAGAATTTTTTTTTTCTCCCTCTCCCCCTTCTCCCCCCACCGGAAAGATTATTTTCTTCTGAAGGGTATTGAGGAGCATTTTTTTCAAGCTCCCATCGGCACTGAGTTCTGGACCGTCGCCCCATGCAGGTTCCGCACCCCGCAGGCCCCAGCGGGTGCTGCCACCGTCCCCACTGCCCGGGTCGGTGATCCTGCCCGGCCCCTCTTTGTGGCTCTGGTTTACAAGACCCTCACACGAGGCCGTTCGTGTTGCGAGGCCGTTTTTAGTCCCTGTTGTCTATGTCCTCTGTGTAGTTCCATTCATCATCCCATTCTTGCCAAAAAAAATCTGGCACAAATTTCTTACCCTTCTAGCAAGGGGATGTAAGTGGCATGTAAGTTTTGCATGTAAGATGAGGGCAAATTGTTTTATTGTAATAAAACAGTAATTTACAAATCTGTTGGAAAGTGCTTCCAGTGAATTTTGGATCATAAGAAATCTCAGAAAAAAATGTGAATATTTAGTAAATTTCTTTAAGTTCACAGATCCTGCTAACAGTTTTGCTGGCCTCTGAAGCCATATGGGAGTGAATTTTGAAGTTTGAAGTGAATTTATAAAGGTGTACATGAACTTCATTAAAACAGTGAGAACAAACTGGGAGTTGTGATTAGAAAGCAGATTCTGCAACAGGTCACGTACAATAGTTTCCTATTACAGAAGCAGAGATTGTAAGTGTAAATATTTCAGTTGCAAAAGTTGGTATAGGATTGTTTTTATCATAAATTCAAATGCTCTTGTTCTACAGGTAAATGTACTTCGGCTTCAGTTAAGGTTGCTTTGTGGAAGATGATACCTAAGAACTATACCAGTTCAGTAAAGTATATAGGGCAGATCTAGGAAGATATGGATTTTTAACTATGAGGTGAATACTGAATGAGCAGTTGAATTCAGATTGGAAAAAAAAAAAAAAAAGACACTTGTTTTAAAAAGTTGTGAGGCCAATCAAGTCACTGAAATTAACACCACATCTCCCCCTATTGGATGTAAAATGAAAAGGAAAATAAAAGGTCATAGTCGTCCTTACTTTCTGGCACCATATAAACTTTATACAGTGTTTTGTATAGGAATAATTACTGATTTCTGTAGTAATTTGGAGAAGGGGAAATTAATTTGTTTGTAAAAGTTAGCATTGATCTGAAATTACTGCTTTTTTAGGTGTCAGATGCAAGTGGGTCCATGAAGGTGTCACTGGTAGCAGAGGAGAACCCCTTCTCCATGGCTATGCTCTTGTCTGAAGAGTGCTTCATTTTGGACCATGGCACTGCAAGAAAGATCTTCGTGTGGAAAGGTAAGAGACAACCTCTGTTGCAGAGGTACAAGGAGCACAGACAGATCTCAAGTCTACACCACGTTCACTGGACACTAGCAAGAGCTGAATACTGGCTGGACACGGTACCCTGCACACAGAGTTCAAACGGCTGCAGCGACCTGGTTCAGGGACGGCACGGCGACCACCCCCAAGCCACTCGGGCTATCAGCTAGTTGACACCAATGTGGTGGACGGCAAATGGCGTTTATTGATGGGTAACAAGGTGTTATATAGCTAGGTTTACAACGTCACATCCGTCTGCTTACACCATAGACTAAACACTATTGGCTATTAGGGGCCCTATCTTTCCGTACAGCACGATATCTTCCGGCCGCCGTTCCCTAACTATCTGCAACACCCTGCACACAATTCTTCCTTGGTGTAGTCAGGGGACAGGGATTGCTCATGTGAGCAAGGGCCTCAAGACTAGGTCCTGTCTAAATATTCTGAGTACTTTGGAGGCATCTGTAAGTTTTGGTACTTAAATACTTAACTGAGGGGCAATTATGAAGCAATCAGAAAGAATCCTTTTATATATGTATATCACCAATAAATCTACCTTATAGAAAAAAAAATCTAGAAATCTAATGGATAGATATTATATATCCATTAGACTGTTTGTGGAAAGTGTGAAATTTAAAGATGAGCGGTTAATACCACTCATACAACACCAGTGTTTCAAGCTTTAACTAAAAGTTTGATCTTATAACCGATTTGATGCTCCTTTTTTTTTCCTTCTGAACATTTCTCTGTACTGTCCTGAATGCTGTGAGTGAATTTGCTGCTGCGTTGGCTGAACATTTCCTGGGAGGCTGCTCCCGAGGAATTGAGCCTGGCCTCCTTGTAGCCAGGGCGTTCCAGGGCTGCCGTTGCAGCCAGTGCAGAGCATCTCCTCTCCCCTGGCTGAGGCTGTTGGTTAACTATTCTGTGGCATCTGCATTTCTTGTTACCATGTGCGGTAGCAAATAATTAATCAGCGCAGTTGTCAAGCTTTTGAAGTCAATCCAGGAAACGCTGTAAGCATTTTGCCTGAATATTTCATTCACAGTTAGGAAAGTCTCCTTTAAAAAACAGCATTTGTGGGGCACTCTGCTTGGCGGCCTAAATTCTTCCTGAGAGCCCCTGTCTCCTGCTTTCCAGTGCCTACCTGATGGCTCCTAGAAGAATCAAGCCGACAAGACCAGGCATTTGTATCCAGTTTAGGCACTCTGAATATGGCCATACGTGCTCCTCGGTGCATCCTCACTTTGCTGCTGTTGGTAACAGCAAAGTGTGGGATAAGCTGGAGCCTCACTTTGCACGGGGAGGCTGCAGTTGCCATCTCTGCTGGAAATCTGCAGACCTCTACATTGAGAAGTGTGGATTGCTTTGCTGATGGTCTTCTTCAAAAGTGACTATGATGAACAGCTTAGCAGAGAATCTTATTAGACTAAGAAGTCTCCTGAGTACAGTCTTGGCAACCAGTTGGGACACAGATCTGAAACACAGAATCAGCCCACAGAGACTTTCAGAGGTGTCTGGTATCTCTGGCTGAGAAAACGGAAGAATGAGTGGGGGAAGGTGGTGATAAATGGTACGGCATGCCTGGATTAAAGAGTAGTTTCATCTTCTCAGACTGTGGAGCAGTGAGTGGTGCTGCCTGGTGAAGGGAAGGCGGTTCTGGAGGGCAGCTTTGTTTAACACATTGCACTCCAGCAAGGAAAGATGCAGAGAAGGTTGCCCAGGTGTTCTTGCTGGGTAAAACCAAGCAGATACCGTAAGACTTTTTTTTTATTTTTCCTTTTGATAGAAATACATATTAAGCAAAATGAAAATGATTTTTTTTATCTTTTTAGCCATGTTAAAAGCTGCGGTTTGACTGCAGTTTTGACTTATACAAATCTTATTACTCATGCTGACTAGCATTTGTGTTTGTGCAAGGCTAAGACAAGAGCAATGTCTTGGACATGGCTCAAGGATATTCCTGTTCATTCAGATTTTTCCCTGTACACTTTACTGTGTAGAATAATTGGTCTTAATCCCATTTCCCATCCATATTGTTGTCCTTCTACTTTAACCAGGCAAAGATGCTAACCCACAAGAGAGAAAGGCAGCCATGAAGAATGCGGAGGAATTCATTCAGCAGATGAATTATCCTGCCAACACACAGGTGTGATCTATTTATAAGATGATACCAGGAAAGAGTAAGCTCTGTTAAAAGCTTTGTTTTAAAATCAGTGAAAATATTTTTAAGGGCTTAATTAGAAACAGTGTTTCACAACCATATAAATCAGTAAAGTTTGATTCAAATACTGAGAAAGTGTAGAAAAGATCAAACGATTGGAAAATAATAACATACACATTATTTTCCTTTCATTTAAATTAAGACTCTCTGTATCTTGCTCCCAAATCAGGCTTGATTTTTAAGTGAGCTTAGAAATGAAAAACAACTATAGACAAAAGTACCAAAATGATTTATTTCTCTTTGCTGAGTTGAGTGTTGCTCGCTTCGAGCAATGTGTGGCCTCTGTGGCTATTTCCAGATAGGCAGGTCTGCCGTGATTTAACCTAAAAGTGATGTAGGCTGACTGCAAAAGTTACATCATTTGACATGGTCTCTGAATTACAAACAACTTACAAAATAAACCATCAGCTACCCAGAAAACTCCATCCTTTGACATTTTAGTTACAGCAACTGTCAGTTTTGTTTTCCGTTTCATGTGTCTTGTTTCATTTCAGATTCAAGTTCTTCCAGAAGGAGGTGAAACACCAATCTTCAAACAGTTTTTCAAAGACTGGAAGGATAAAGATCAAAGCGATGGCTTTGGAAAAGTTTATGTCACAGAGAGAGTGGCTAAAATTGAGCAGATTGAATTTGATGCTACCAAGTTACATGAGTCTCCACAGATGGCCGCCAAACATAATATGGTAGATGATGGTTCAGGGAAAGTAGAGGTAATTTTTGTGTTGTATTGAATTGTAATTTCTTCTGTCTTGCAATTTAAACTGTTGTGTTCTGTTGTTCTGACCACCGGGGGGGGAAAAAAAAAAAAAAGCTTCTTTTAAGAGGAAAGGGAATCCTTCCTGTTGAGTCATGTTATTTCGTGAAATCTTGTGACACTCATAATTGATGGTTCAAGTCATGAGTACAAATCAAAGACCAGAAATAATTCCCCTTTTAAGTAACACATTTTAAAGGAATACTTTAAAGGAACACTTCTACCTCACATCAGCTTGATATTTGAAATGGTAAACTTGCTCCTGGTGGTAGAAACTCATTCTGGCTCTTCACCTACAGTTTCATTGCCATATCATGTGGGACTGCTCCCTGATGTTTCAGATGGTACCTAGACTTGAGCCCAGCAGCTGAGATACAATTTTAGCAGTATGTTTTTGGAGAGCAGATGATAAATCAATGAAGCTGTACTGCATCAAATGGAAGAAATCTCCAGATTTCTGTTACCTCTCCGTGGTGTACCTTTCCCATGTGATATGATAGCTTTATGATGAATCATAATGTTCTACCATTCGTGTAATTATATCATCCTAAGATGCCAAGAAAGGAATTTAAATATGGCATTATGAGATGGCCACGTAGCAGTAAAACATCAAGACAAAGGAAAGTTTTCTGCAGTGGCCTGTTAGCGATTGTGTTCAGAAGAAACTTTTCTGTTTTTATGCAGTAATATTTCAGAACAAAACCAAATGTTGTTCAAGGGACAGCACAGTAAATTGCTTCTTTAAGAACCTCGGGATGAAGTTCAGCCTCTTCTAGTGGTTTCTCTGTTTCCTAGATCTGGCGTGTTGAAGACAGCGGCAGAGTTCCTGTGGAGCCCGAGACGTATGGGCAGTTCTATGGGGGTGACTGCTACATTATACTCTATACTTACCCTAAAGGGCAGATCATCTACACGTGGTATGTTTGGTCTGCTTTGCACAGATCTCTAGCATGTGAATATTATTCTATGCTGATTTTATGTCCTGTAGAAACAACAGAATTGTGTAAATGCAAGATCAGATTTACTTTTTTTTCTTTTTTTTTTTCCCCTCTCTCTCTAAGCTTTGGATCATGCTGAAACTGGTTTTAAACATTGATTTTCACTAATCATTGCACTAATCATTGTCATTCTCAGGCAAGGAGCTCAGACTACAAAAGATGAACTGACTGCATCCGCGTTTCTGACTGTTCAGCTCGATCGGTTATTGAATGGTCAGGCCGTGCAGGTTAGTATCTTTTGGATTAAATTCAACAAATACAGGATATGATATAGGTGCAGAAACAACAGGAATTGAAAGGAGGAGAAATATTGGAATACTGAGAATATCAGCTGCTCATGGCAAGTCCTGTGCATGCATTTGTTAGATAGTAAGATGTTTAACTTTCTTTCCTAAATGAGTAAACTACCTGAAATAACTTACGTTTTACCACAGATTAGTGGCATGGAAGTTAACGTGGAACACTGAAAACTTACCTCCTAGCTCACCTTGTGCAGGCGCCCATGCTATTAATTTTTTTTTTTTTAGAAAATGATAACCAGTCTTTTATTACTCAGTGTCATTTGCATCTTTTTTTCCTGCATTTAAGCTGTTTTGTTAAAAGGAAAGCAAACAAACTTGTGTTCACACAATCTTTTTTGCTATCCACATATTTATGAGGTAAAACCAAACTGCCTGTTATTTGAGTTCACTTGGAATAAAAATAATTTATTTTCTGCAGCTATTGTCTTTTCCTCTTACAGCTAGTACTGTATTCTCCTCATAATTACTTTATAATTCCTTTCTTACCTGGAGGCACTAATCTTTGGAAAAATGAAAAGTACTTTGCAAAGCACCATGTACATGTCTGCAGCCTTAGCCAGGCAATTCTATATTTTCCTTAGCTATTATTAATCTTCACTTTTATTTTCCTCACATATCATGCAGACTAACTTCAAGGTACATTTTAAGATTTACCTAAATTTCCAGCCTTTTCTCACTGGGAGACTTGTCCCAGTTTTGCTCAAGTTAATGAAAACCTTGTTTGAAAGGGTTTTTCTTCTGTGCCCCTTAGTTTTCCCACTTGCCACAGTGGATGTTATTTTATGTCAGAAAAAAATCCTTTAATAAAGCAAAGGATTTTTTCCTTTTTCCTTACCCCTGAAGCACAGGCATATGTTGCACATGTGCAGACTATTTGGATAACTGTCCAAATGCAGATTTCTATAGAAGCCTGTATCAAGCTGAGCACCATGGGCTTCTTTAGTCAACAGAGATTTCCCACCTGGCTAAAACTTGTAGGGTTCATTCCAGCCCATCATCCAGGTATTGGTGAAGATGCTAAACAGACTCCGTCCCATACGAGCTCCTGGGGGACACCACAAGTGACAGGCCTCCAGCTGCACTGTGTGGTGCTGATGACCTCTCCTTGAGGCCAGCAGTTCAGCTAGTTTCTGTCCACCTCGTTAATCACTTATCTACTCTGTACGTCATTGGCTTGTTTATTAAGTTGTTATGGCAGACAGTGTCAAAAGCCTTGTTAAAATCAAGGTAAACAACATCTATAGCGCTCCCCTCATCCCCCAAGCTAGTCATCATATAGGGGTATCAGATTGCTGAAGCACAATTTCGCCTCCCTGATTCCACACTGACTATTGCCAATCACTTTCTTGTTCACCTTGTGTTTGGAAATGGTTTCCAGGATTAATTCCAGGATTACATCACCTCCCCAGGGACCACGGTGAGGCTGACCAGCCTGGAGTTCCCTGGATCCTCCTTCTGAAGATAGGGGTGACATATTCTCCCTTCCAGCCACAGAAACCTCTCCTGACCACCACAACCTTTCAAAGATAGCTGAGAGTGGCCTCTCAGTGCCATCAGCCCAATCCCTCAACAGGTGTGGGTGTATCCTACTAGGGCCTATGGACCTATGTATGTCAATTCCTAAAAAAATATCCTATATTTGGACAGAGTTGAGCATGATATTGCCCTGCCTCATAGATAAGGGCAACTAACACTACAGTAATAATTACATACTAATAGCCGTAATAAAAATACACTTTAAATGTTTTATTGAAGCTGAAGGAGATCCATCTCATTGCAATGGACATGTTAAAAATATTATTTTAACCTGAAATGAAGTTAAACAAATATATATGTGCCTATGCATATTATACAAATTTATATGCATGTACATGAATCTTTAGAATGTATTGCCTATACAAAACACCTGGATTACCCTTATTCAAAAAGTTTCAAATGCACTAATTTATTTAGTCACTAGATGGCACTACAGTACAAATTACAATAAAAAAGTCTCAATATTTGTTTTGCAGAAAGATGTTCCCCTCAGCATTTTCTTCCCTGCATTAGATTTTTTTTTTCCTGCATTTGGAAAATGCTGCTGCAGTTTGGCATCTACAAGCTTACACGGGTGTCCTTATTGGGCGATTTTATGAGTGTGCCCAGCTGTGAGATCGCGGAGAGCATCTGCTTTGCTGCCTGTCCCGGAGGAAGGTGGTGTGTCCCGCTCGCCCTCCCTGGCCCTGGCGCTCGCCCTGCCGGAAGGCGCTGCCCGGGAGCGCTGGCCTGGGGGACGCGGGGCCCTCCACGCTCCCCGTTTCTTCCTGGGAGCAGCGCTCGGGAGGAGCCAGGAGACTCAGCCCTCACCCTTGGCTGGGGCCAGCGTGGGGCCCAGTCCCGTGGGCAGGAGGCCCCACGGCGCCCGTGGGGATCGCACTGCCCCCCGCAGCCCCTGCAGCCCTGGCCGAATTCAGCCCTGCCACGGGCCAGGTGCTGCCGGCTGAGCTACGTGTTCTGCACGTGAAGGAGAGCAAGTGGGACACCTCGGAGGAATACGAGCTTTCTCCCTTCAGGAGCGCTTTCCTTGGCGTTCCTGGAAGGCAATTTCCACTTCCTTCCTTTCCCTTTTTTTTTTTTCTCCTCCTCGTTTTTTACCTTCTGTCCTTGTTTTTCCTTCATCTCATGCGCAATATAAGTCAACTCTGTTTGCATAAAGCAAAAAAAATGAATACAGAAAAAAATACAGTTTAGCCTTCAGCTGTCACCTTTCTGTTTCTCTGAGAGTGAAAAACAGAGGATACTGTTATAAGTGAAGAAGTGAATCTATGAAACTCCATGAAATGACAGTTCTTTTGTAAAAGGCAAAAATCTTTATTATAGTATAGAGCAGCCATTTTAATCAGTTAAACATTATGTTACAAGTCTGCACGATGTCATTGTGTTGGCGTGATTTACAAAAATAATCTCAGAAATGCTATAACTTTGATGTCTCTGGAACTATGTTCTTAAATCTTCTCATTTTGCCACTTCTAATTCTTGCTACCTTGCTTACCATTATTGGCTAACACTCCCTGTGCTATACAATGAAGCCAATTTAATTTCCATGTTCCTTTTTGTTTCTGAATTGCATTTCTTCACACATATGCAGATCCGAGTCAGCCAAGGCAAAGAGCCCGCCCATTTACTGAGCTTGTTCAAAAATAAACCCCTCATTATTTACAAGGATGGGACATCAAAGAAGGAAGGTCAGAAACCTGCTCCCCCAACACGGCTCTTCCAAATCCGCAGGAACCTGACATCCACTACCAGGATTGTGGAGGTGAGGACAAATATTCCTCTGGATAATGGTATAGCTGCCTGTAAATATTCTTCCCCTCCAGTAATACATTTGGGCAGTCAACATCTGGCAGGAACACAGAATTCCACATCAAATCAACTGCTTTGCATGACTAATAAGATACTAGTCATACAGATTACAAATTTCTAGGAAAACTGTTAGGAAATGCTTAGTGGATAGTCAGCTGACAACAAATAGACAAAAAATCAACCACCCTTATGGGCGGTCATTCCTATCTCCAGAGAGTCCCAAGTTTTGTTCTTCCAGTCAGTTCCCTATTTCAGGTTAAATCTCTACTTAACCATACAAATCTAGGGACAAACTGCAAAGAAAGCACAACCAATTAACATCTAGCTCCACATTTTATATAAGCATGCAAAACAGAGATCACCTTACTTGAAAATATGAAGAATAAAATAATGTCATTCTTGACCTAGGTTGATGTTGATGCAACGTCCCTGAACTCCAATGATGTCTTTGTTCTGAAACTGCCAAACAACTCTGGCTACACCTGGGTTGGAAAAGGAGCAAACAAAGAAGAGGAACAAGGAGCTCAGTACATTGCCAGTGTTCTTAGATGCCAAGCTCCTAAGATTAATGAAGGCCAGGAACCAGGTTAGTTTGAGGCCACGTGCTTGCTATTAGGCAGCTGAGAATACCCAGGGCTGTATGGAAATGAGGCCTAACTAGGTTTTCTTTTTTTTTTTAGTCATGTATTTTGTAGGCAGAACCGTATGATCACTCTCTCCCTTTCAAAATGTAACCTGAGGTTTTACTGGGAAGGTCTGTCCAGAACTGGCTGACGCACGAACAGTGCAATCCCCTGGGTGTCCGTAGGGCTGTAGCAGGAGCTGCAGGGGAATGTGGTCTTTTTTAAAACCCCGAGAGATGAGAAGGGGAGCAAGCATTGCTCTCACTCCACACGTGATATCTTCATTGTTATTGATGAGCTGCAGAAAGAAGCTTGCAGAAAATGCACTCATCTTTGAGACAAAAAAAAAAAGTCATTGCTTGGGGATTCTCGAAATAGTGTCCAACAAGCTAAAACATAAAAGGGGAAAGACACTGCTGAATAAATCATGTCTTGTGTATTTCAGAGGAATTCTGGAAGACACTTGGAGGTAAAAAAACATATCAGACTTCATCACAACTCTTGACAAAGGCTGAAGATCATCCACCTCGTCTGTATGGCTGTTCTAATAAGACAGGCAGATTTATTGTAAGCATATAGTATATACTTTCCCTTCTGTTCAATTATACAGTTTCCAGTATATTTTAGCTAAGGAATCAACTGACATTGAATGATTTTGGGGATCTGACTTCTCTTTGTATAGTTAGCAGTGCTTGGCAAGAGGTAGGTCCTCTGGAACAATCCAAGTGTAAAGAACAGACAGAAAAATAAATACTGGAGATGTTAGCAGGGAGAGTCTGTTCCAGCATGGGAGCAGAGGCTTACAGATGCAAAAAGACAAGACCGTTTTGCAGTCAAAATCGGTTGCATTCTTGCAGAGCATTGTGAGACTGCTGTCGTTTCTCTGAGAAAATGCAGGTCAGTGCTTTGCCCCTTACATGTTTGATAGTGGTAGTGAGGAAAAGAAATGCCTCCTGAGACTTTGCCAGGAATTCCTAGCAGCCTGAAATTTTCCAGAGAGATTTAAGACCAGTAATTATGGCTCCAAGGCATTGGCCTGTGATCAAGGAGGTGGTAAGACTTATTTCCTTAGCAGAAATACCCAGAGCTGCTTGAGTGAATCAGGCTTAATTGCTTACTGCACTTGGAAAGGCAAGATGGTAGCACTGTTTGGCAAGGGTGCCCTAGTACTTACGTATGGACCATAGTTTCCTGCAGTTTCCTTAAGGAGCTGTTTCCATCCATCTGGAGAAAGATAAAACAAACAGAATACTTTAATAAGGACTTTCAAATCTTATGAGAGTAGCAGAGAAGTGTATTCCTGTAGCAAGCTTCTAAAACACCCCTGTAAAATACAGTAATAGGGACCAACTTCTCTGTGATAGCCTGCTGGGAGCCGTGGGCTGGCTGGTTTTTGTCTCAGATTCCCTGTGTCCCTGGGAATGCCCGAGTAGCAGAGCCACCACCGTTAGAGCTCACGTGCAGGGCAGGCAGGTCAGATCCCTCTGGCCCCTGTAGCACAGGCAGGGGAGTGGGGAAGGAGCCCGTGTTTTGCCACATCTGCGCGCAGCCCTCCTGCATGGCCAGGCACTGCCCGACCCTTGCATCCCCTTTAGAAGCAGCGAGCTGACCACTAGCTAAACTGCTGTCTCTCCTGCTGATGTGGAAGAACTGCTCTCCTGCTTAACTGTGAATGATTGGAAGAAGTTAGAAATTTGCCTTTTCTTTGGGGACCAGTCCTCAATGGCTTAGTCTAGTAGAGTGTCCCATTTTCAAGTTAATGGAAGGTTTGCTTGGATACATATTTCAGCCCTGAGCTCATCCACTGCAAGTACAAGCAATTTCTTTTCCTTATTAATGAATCTAAGCCACATGAATACACCACCTTGATGATTGATTTAGTTTGTTTGGTACAAGTCACTGTATGGAAATTTCCCTGTCCTTTTCTTCCGGCAGCCCTTAGTCCCAATTTATAACAGTCACAATTACAATACAAACCTATGCCTCTCCTGAGGATATCCTATCAGCCCTGACAAACTGAGAGTTGATTTTATAGGACATGTGATTGTATGTGATTTGTTTCCTCTCAGTGTAGTATCCTTCACACATTCATCAAATCAGTTTGGGGCTTCATCCTATAGGAACAAAAAGAATAGCCCGGCACCCTCATCCCTTAAAAAAAAAAATCTTTGCTCTTTACAAAATCAGAATATCTTGACAGATCATTTAAAAAATAATAATAAATGTGCCATCCCTTTCAGATTGAGGAAGTCCCAGGAGAATTCACTCAGGATGATTTGGCTGAAGATGATGTCATGTTGCTGGATGCTTGGGAGCAGGTGAGCTGTGTACTTTACCACTGCTCTTTGTGGTAATAAGAATTTGTTCTTAACAACCACCTAGAATGCAGGACGGCAGTAAAAAAAAGCTGTGTTTGTGAGAACAGGAGAACTTGTTTTCTTTAAATGATATCAAAGGGACCTATATTTTCTTTTGTGCTCTATGATGTGTTAGTGTGAACATATATGGTTGAATTTCCAAGCATAATGTTAGATCCCAGTAGGCACTTCCCATTAAAACCAAAGACGACTGCAAGAGCACAGGCCCCAGCAGTGTTCTGAGAGGCTCACAATAATGCTCATGACTTGATCACTAAAAATTATTAATTTTTGAAAAGAAAGTTATTTTACAAATAACTAGCACAAATTTCGTACAACCAATGTATCAATGTCTGGGAAAAACTTAGGAGGATGGGCCCATCTTACTCCGAGTTCTTCCGAAGACCTTATTGCAGACAGACATTGTCTCCATCATTTTCCCAGGTTCACTGAATTCATGGAATTCAAACCAGGGACAGCTCTTGTTCTGCATTTGCACATGAACCTAGAGAGTAATTTGCTTACCAGCCTGCAAAAGCCATCCATGAGGAAGGTGACTAGGGTTCCTTTCCCCAGAACGCTTTACGTCAGGCCTCGCAGTGCCAACAGAAGTGAGATTTCAGAGTACAGAACTAGAGCAAGGGAAAAGAAATGCAGGTAGTGTATGAGAGCTGTATATCTCTCGTCATAGTGCATGATCTTTCTCCTAATGGAAGCAACTATTTTGCATTTTACCTGCTGTACGTAAAATCCCATAACAATTTATTTGCAGGTTTTCGTCTGGATTGGGAAAGATGCTAATGAAACTGAGCGGCAGGAGTCTGTTAAATCTGGTAAGAAAATCACTTCTACATATTTCTGAGTAAAACAGAAATCAACAGTACTTAAATGAGTGAAAAAAATGATACAGAAGAAATAGCTATGTTTACAGTACTGCACTGAGCTTATTAGGATTTAACCCTAGAGAATATTATTCTCCTTTAAAAGTGATTTAAAACTCATTCTGTGCTTATCTGTAAGTTTATGAAGAGAAAAATTAACCTAAATAACTTTACCAGATTGCAGGGCTTTTTAGAGAGTATACAGGAGAACTCCATGAAAAGAACCTGTCCTGAGAGTGGGATTTTCAAATGCCTATATTTACTGAGCTGTACCCTGCACTAACGTTTATAGTCAGAGGAATGCTGACAAATCTTCAAGTCCTTGCATTGCTACCCTTTACTGAGCTAAATCTGGGAGATGAAATTGCTATCCCAGAACAAATCAAGACAACTTATTTGGCATGCAACTCTGAAAAACAAAATCAGGGGCCGTCTCAGGTGGGATTTCACAGAGCTGAGTTGTCACGACGAAGTTGCTGCTGGAACACTTGCCCAGTACAGCTAAGGTTCCCTGCTTCCGTTCCCGACACACACAGTGCGATGTGCAGGGAAACGATGCTGGATGCAGCTGTGAGGGTCTCCTGGGGAGAAAGGGGAACCAAGCAGGAGCACTTGCCCAGCCCCAGCAAAATCCTTCTGCTCCAGAGCCAAAGCACTGCTCTACGGGAAGGAAATGAGCACAGTAACGATCACTGGGCTTTCATCTTGGGAAAATTCTGTCACTGCCAGTTGGGAGGAATCAGCACTTACGTGATCATTTCATTGCCTTTGAAATAATTTAATTGAATGCTTTATTATAATAGCTCTGGGATCTTTTACTAGGGCTTTTAATGTATGTTTTATGCCAAAGGAATGAACTAATATTTTACACATTTTATTTCTTCTTTCTCTTTAGCCAAGCGCTATATTGAAACAGACCCTTCTGGAAGAGATAAGGGGACCCCCGTTGTTATTGTGAAGCAAGGATACGAACCCCCGACGTTCACAGGCTGGTTCCTGGCCTGGGATTCCAATAAATGGAAAAACTGATCTATCCAAGAACGCCTCAGCTTCAAGCCAAAGAATGATCAGAGCACAGCTAGTATTTTTAAGCATAAGCTTGTGCATCTGTTGTTACTCTTTTCTCCAGCTTTGATATATTTCTATGAATAACCCAGAAGTTCTCAGCTCTGGGAAGGCTAAATGCTAATGGTGAATGTGTCAGATGGGCCGGGTGGGACTTTGCGTGTAGTAGAGAGCAAAGCTCCACCGACACTTTGGCTAACATATGAATTCTTCAAACAAATACTGTAGATGATTTTATTGTAATTTTTATGTGCTAAAATGGAAGCGTGCCTTCATTTAAAAATTCAAGCTAATGCCAAAGACATTGCTTTAGATTAAGGTCAGCATGTTTTTGCACAGAATTTGGCCCAATGAAATACGAATTCTGTTGCAAGGCCAGGACTGGCATAACAGGCCAAAATACGCTCAGTTATGTCAAACTTCAAAGGATGCTTGATCCAGAGGGGACAGATACAGGCTGCTTATTTTGACGAAGCTGCGTGCATCATGTTTGCTTGGTAAACTGGAGCTGCTAGGTAGGTGCATTTTGTGCTTAGGACTGTATGATTGCAAGAATATGGTGTCAACAAAGGCTTCTGCAAAGGTCTGCAGTAATGGTTTTCTTTAGGTCTTTGGCTTCTTTAGATCTCTCGGTATGAGAGCCTGCTAACCACAGCTCTTAAACACTTACTAACCCACTACTGCTTTTAAACAGCAGCAGAAGTGGTGCCTCTATAAATACTTCCTCTGCCTGCCTTGGATTTCAGTGAAGCGATAGTTTGTTTCGATTCTGCCTTATTCTGCAGTGCTCATTACGAACTGCTCTGCAGCTCTTCTCCAGCATATAGATTGCTCACATTATCAGGTACAGGATGTTTCTACACATTTTCTGTAATTCTTAGACATATATCAAGCATCTCAACGCTCTTCTGTGTCAGTAGCATTGCACAACCTGGGAATC